CAAAGCGACGTATACAACGCGTGTAAAATACATTGTTTATTTACATGAAATTCGAACACGCGCTGCGCGACCACCACCACACTTTAAAATTTTGCTGAAGTGCAGTCAGTAGTGGGAAATTTAAGTGTTGTGAAGTTATGTCATATTATAATTTTATAATTGAAGCTATTTTAATCCATCTTTATATGCGACATTCATGTGAACTAGCTGCACCTAACTGTGGAATATTGCTTTGTGTCACAATTTGATGACATTTTCTATTTGTTCTATTTTTGGTGATTTTAGAATACGTCTAATTATAATGCAGAAATGTCATTCTCAGATATTGCACTTTGAGATGTTTTTTCATGTACAGCACAGTATAAATATTAGTCCAAAACAGGGTTTTACCATGACAACAGTGATCACACTTATAGTTCAAAGCATTATAAATCCTTCAGTTTTTAGCTCAACTGTTATTGATCATGACGGTGTTGGAGTGGAGCTATTTTAGGTGATAGTTCTTTATCCATTACTTAAACATTCACATTGCTTATACCCAATATAGGACATGTGAATAGACTTCTATAAGGTTTGTGGTTTTGAGATTACGTCAATAATCTACCTTTTATATTAGAATTTATTGGTAGAAACATGCTGCCCCAAGGTATTTAATTTGGAAGCCAAGCCAACAATGAAGTAGACACAGCTGGCTATTTTTGGTTGCCAAATAACACAATAATTAATAACAAACTTATATATAATACATGGTCACACAAATTTCTCATATTTCCACATGGTTAAATTTTATTGGTAACTTTTTCGAAGACCATGTGTCTATATACACATGTACATGTATGGTTACGAGCTTTTTGTCTCCATGGTTACATATGCAGGTTTGTTGGCGATAATGTAATGTAATTTTTTATTGTAGGAAATGATGAAAAATGTTGAACTCTTTTGGAATTAAATTGTGCTGATTGGCTGTTAACCATTCACAGGCCACTTTTCATGACAGGGTCAGCTGAAAACAATGTATTAACTATAAGAGTGACAAATTAAACAGGAACAACATTATGTCCTAATGATTTTACTGTATTTTCGTCGTAATATTTGTACATGCTGTTAAAATATCCTGTATATTGTCCTAATTTTTCATATTTGCAGTTTGCTTAAATTTATTCTCCTGCAATGGCGTTTATTCTTTCGCAATGTAGAGGGCTGAAGGTGCATGTCTAAGAAATTTGTCATGTTATAAAAAACTTGTGAGGCCTGTGGCCCAATTACTTTCTTACATTTATTTTATTCACCATAAAACAGCAAAAAGATACAGAAATATTACTCAACTCTTACAAATCCTGACTGGAGGTGCTCAGTCAGGTTTGGTGAGATTTACTTTTTTACTAATAAATATTATATTCATTCTGATCATATTAAAGTAGATCATTATGAATAATGGATTAGAAATCTTGTTATCAGTCGGCATTATTTTAACATTCTGTGGAATTGTTTCTCAAATGTGTATCCTGGGTACATGTATGTATTTACATTTTGCATTGTACGTGTATGCAATAATTAGTTGGCAAGAACTGTTATTTCCCCCAAGGTATTTGCACATCAAGATAAAATAGCTTTGTTGACTTCTGTGTGCAAAACACAGTCTTTGTGGTTACTCTGTCTGTATGTTTGTGTATATTTGTTGCACTGATATCTCAAAAACAATTATCATATTTTAATGAAACTTGGTACATAGATGCTCTAGTATAATGCCCAAACCAAGTTTTTGGTTGGAGTCTGTGCATACATGTAGTAATTACTTAATTAGTTAGCCAGGTTTCAGATTTTCACTTGTTTCTCATACCATTCAACAGATTTCAATGAAACTTGGTACATAGTTGGTCTGGGATAATGTGCAAACATGCTTAGTTTTTGGTTGAAATGTGTGCATATTAATTAGCCAATTTTAAGTCTTTCCACTTTTTTAAGAACAGATTTCATTGAAACTTGATGCATAGTTTTTGGCTGAAAATCGTCATATTAATAATTAAATTTGAATAGTTAGTCGCCAATTTTTAGCCTTTCCACCAATATGTCAATCACTCATCAGATTTCAATCATCCACAGATCTGATTACTTCATGGTTGAAATCCATGTGTATTAATTTACCCACCTTGTACAAATGGGTTCATGTGACCTCATTAATTTGCATAAGTGTCATATCTCAATCACAGTTGCAGACATCCAACTAGCGCTATAATATAGGCATTTAACGAGAGATATTTATATATAATTAAAAAGTATTTTCGTTTAAGTTGATGTTACCATAGTTTTGTATAAATCTGAGCCGCAGGCAGTAATCAGGAACTATACTGACATCAACTGAGGAGAAATCATCGTGTTATTATTTATTTATCATATGCATGTTTCCCCAGTATGAGATAGTGAAACAGTATGACGGTGGATTGTTGATAGCAGAACTACATATATTGCTGAAATAACACCCAATACATATCATTGTGCTAATTCTGTTGGTGCCACAGTGTTCTATTTCATACAAATGCCTTGTATACGGTGTATAGCGATTCTGCTCATTCAGAATATTTACTTGAATTCATTAGGATTTTTTGAAATTTCAAACAATTTTTTGGAGAGACTGAATGATATTTTTGAAAATGTACGTTAGCATGTCAAAATGAATCGTTGTCTGTGGTTCTCGGAACCCCAGAAGCTCTGGGCAACCTTCACAAAGTAACACTGTGGTGATATGGGTTTTTGCTCTGCTATGTCTTACGTCAACTGTGGTGGCGTGCAAGTTATGCATATGATAAGACTTTAGATATTATAAACATCAAATGACTTTATAAAGACAACTTAGGCAAGTCTAGAATAAAGTCAGAATAAATATACTGATTTTGCATGCAATAAATACAATTTTGCTTCATGTGAATTGGAGATATGCTTCAAAATTTATTATTCCTTATTTGTACTTCATGCCTCCAATACTCACGGAAGTTTTTTCTAAGTTAGTGATAAAGTGTGTCAAGCCACATACACATGTACTTGATGAGTGTTTCTGCTTTCAGCTTATTTGTCTGCAAAGACTTGTGGGGCAGTTTGTATACTAGGTATATAAATTTCCACCAATCATAAACCTTTCTTACATGTGCGTTGAACTCAATGCATTGTTGCATGTGAAAAATTGAATCGTAAATAAAACGAGCAACAAAGCAACAGAATACAGCTTGCTTTACCCTTCAGATGGCAATTTTAATGTTGCAAGTATATCCAGCACTGGTTAAATGTGCCATTACCAGTGACATCGTTAACCAAATTACACACTTTGACTGAGTGGAAAACTTTGCTGAGAACCAGCAACGAAACTACGCCTGTTGGCTACCAGGTGTAGAATAAATATATTTTGTAAGACACATTAACTTTGAGGTCAGAACTTATAAGACGTGGTTGGAAAGACCTTAGGTTAGCAAGGAGAAACAAACCTTCCATCACAGAGTGTAAAATACAATGTATAAATGGAAAAATACACAGTATTAACCCATGGCATTCCAATCACAGTGTAACAGCAGTATTATTATATATCAGTGAACTGGTCCAAGGATTGAGCCTGAAGAGGGATGTATTCATCTAAGAGGACATAATAAAGAAGACAAATCAGATTTCCTCTTTCATATTGTCATGGCAATCATCCTGTAGATCCGTTGTATACATAAAAACAGTCAAGCGGCAATTTAATACCTAAGTGATTATGTCCTATTTCCATTACAGTTCAATTTGATTACGCTCTGGTTTCATTTCATGGGGTATCATTAGGATGAAAAATCTAACCATTAGCTGCAATGTGTCTGCAATATAAACCACTATAACTTGTATGTAATTGCTCCAACAATATATACCGGTAATTAAATGACAAATAGCGAAATGTTAATCTATCTATTTCTTGACTCAGTTGAGACAATTTTGGTGAGTTTCAAAAGGGGTGGGTAATTATAGAAGTGGTACAAAAGTTAAAGATTGGCCCTAATTAAGTCAGTCAAATGTAGTATATGAATTCCTATGTTGAATAAAAGGTGTCAATCGTCACAATGCATTGAGTTAGATGTGAATTTCATTCAATGTGTTGAAAATACACATAGCGTGAGTAACGTCTGTGACTTGTGTTGTATCATTGGGGCTTAGGGCAACCTTTTTTGTGACTAGTGTAGGCATGCTTCAGTGATCCAAATATTCTATGATTTAGGGCCCAACCAAATGATTTCTCATGGTGGTCATAATAATCAGTGTGAGAGGTATATTCTGCATAGAATACAAAGTTTGTAACCTAAGTGAGAAGAGCAGTGCCACTTTGGATGTTTTGTAACCTAAGTGATAATTGTAGAGTGCCATCTTTAGTAATTACCTTGGTTGTATTGTAACCTGAATTATAACTGTAGTGGCAATAAAGATGTTTCTTGTTCATGCAGCAGGCTTCCAAAGCACATTTTTTTGTATTTATTTCTATGTACATTGTTTTTGTAATGCATTCATTGTACTTCAGAGTCTGTAAAGTTCTGCATCTTGTCCATTTTCAGTTACCCGAGTCACTATACTGGTTCTTCATAATGCCTCAGAATAACCACTGTTTTACATCAAATATTCAAAAGCTCTGCACCGTAGAAGGGGGGGACACCCTCAGAGTGACCAATTTTTAATTCAATTTTGCAAAAGCTCCGCACCGAGAAAAAATCCCTGCAACTTCAGTGTCTTGCATTCAACATAATGTTCAATTGATTATAAATGTACATGTATTAGCCTTATTGAGAACTATTATGCTAAGCCCCCACCCCTTAGTCTCTTCAATAAATTTTGCGTCTTCAAATTTCACGCTTTGACTGCATGCAAATATATCATATGGTAATATAGCAGGTGTACCAATACAATTTAAAGCTATAACAACAATAAATTTATGAAAAAATAATAATGAATTTGTATTAAATCTTTTGGATCATGGTTCATTGAACCCTAAATTATAATCTTTTCTGTTGCCAGCAGGTGAGACTTTTGATGTTTGAACTCCATGGTAAACCCTTCACAAATTTTATGGGATTATTTTTTTCACATTTGTTCAAAACTTGTATCCTTTCAGTCTAAAAGTAACAAAGAAATTATAGAAAAATCTATAAAAACATGCAGGAAAAAGGTACGCTGTTGAGAGGGTTAAAGTGTAACTAAGCTACTGTCATTTGAAGAATGTTCATCTATACTTTACTGGCCCACATTTTTGTCACTTGGAGAAGAAAAAATGTGACAACAGAAGAGGCAGATTTTATACTCACTGTCGGTCACCATGACAACTGCCTGTTTTGTATACAGGTGTGTAAACATACAGGGTGTGCCAAAGAGTGTGCAGAGGCTTGGATGTTTGCTCATGTGAATTATTTTTAAATTTATCATGGTTTTTAAAGTGGGAAATTTTGTGTGTAATTATCTTTATATTGTTGGCATGGCAACCAAACTGTTTATATATGTATAGATTTATCTTAAGATCTGAAGTAAGCTGGATGTATAGACACTCAAATTTTTTAATCTGTTGGCTGACATCAATGAACTTTAGAGAAGGTTCTTGTGATGTGATTTTAATTCTCGTTTCTTGTCCTTCAACAGCTTTTGTAACAGTGACCATTAAGTGACATTAACATTGACTATTTAATGGCCATATATCGGTAAGGCTTGTGTTACTAAATAATAATGTATTGCCAGAAGGGGCAGCCTAAGGGTGGACCTACGCTTCATTTATCATTAGTGAAGTTCCATTTTCCCTACTTCTCTGTAAAAAATGTAAACAACGACAAACTAGAAATTGTATTTACCTCATGTTTAGAGCATTATTATCAAGCCTAGACAAATATCTGTTTTAATAATTCATGCAAATTCTGAAGTTTATTCTTGTATCTTTGATTGCAATATTACTGTGGGTAAGATATTGGCATTGATTTTCATGGGGGTCTTTAGTTTTTAGCCATTCTTGCCCACCTGCAGTCAGCTTTGTTGTCAGCGCATAATGGATTGCGTGGAAGGTCATAGGTCAAACACGTGGCAGCCACACGACTACCATTGTTTACTATGTTTACAAAAGCTTCCTACGACCCATTCAGTTCCGCTGGGTGAGTCAACTTTTCTGAAGGTGGTTGCAGCATTGAAATGCGCAAGTCATTCACCATAGTGGGTGTATACCCTGTACTTTTGTACATTCAGTCATTTATAAAGAATTGTTTTGAAAAAAAATAAGGTCCACCCTATCTCGTTGAGTAGTGATGTGCACATTATTAGAGACTAAGTATTATTTCAGTGTTGACACCTCACATTTGGCTGATGTGTGTTATGAATTCTAATTGACCAAATGACCCAAAACACTAGTTACAACAGCACTTCAAGTGGAGGCTGTCAGAAGCATGTTGACTTACGAATGGCTTACTTCTCTTTAGTGTGCACTGAACAAAAATTAACATGTTGTATTCAAAATCACTTAAATCCACTTGATTTGCCGTTTGCATCCCTTCAAAACTCAAAA